TTCTGACTGTCTCCGTTTGGCTCTCCAATTCATCCCAGAATTAATAAGCTAACGGGCAGAAAACAGAAACAGAAGTCTCAGTAGCCTAACTAAAACCTTCCAAACTCAGTTGTGATAAAAGAAACTAAGTTTAACTTTCCAATAACTTATAATTGCTGTGTTAAAGTGCTGCGTCTTTAAAATCAAAATATTAATTAGTGTCGGAAGTAGTGTTTAGAATTGAATATTCATACATTTTTATTTATCAAATTATATACTTTACATATATAATTATTTGGCATGTGTATGTGATAATAAGTGTTTCACCGGCAAGTTGGCATCCTTCTGCTTCTTCCCCTACTCAGGTAACTTCTATGGTGTGTTACAATTAATAAATATTTTTCTTACTGCCATTTTTTTTTAAACTAACATCATTAAAATCAATTTAATAATAGAATAATCAATTTTACGCTGAATAACTTAAGTTTTTGGTGATCAGCATGGGATATGTCAATGAAAATTGGCACAAATTAATTTAATGATGTTGGTCTGAAGAAACTACAAAATGCTACAAGATTTCATTAGTCCAGTGACTGATAACTAATTTAAATGTAATTTTATGTTTGTCAACATGCCACACTGTATACATACATGTATTAATACTCTTTATGATTATGCTATAATTAATTACTAATATTACGTTAGCTTAATGCATGAACTTTAACAAAACTGGAAAGGTATTTACGAGTAAATTTGTTGGGACTGGGCCCTCATCTTATAAGAAAAGAACTTTCTGGGCCACGGTCTCATAAAGGTTGAGAAGCACTGCTCTAAATGGAGGTGAGTGGCCAGCTCCATGCCACTCTCACACCCAGGGAAACAGCCCCTGGTGGCTATTTGACAGGCCATTAACAGGTTTCAATAACCAAAATACAAGAAAGGATGATAGTATAAAAAAATGTAGAGCTCTCCCTGTAACAGGCCGTGGAGGCCCATAGGGGTGTGAGGCATCAAGACTCCCATACTTTTTCGACAATAAGCTCACAGATGGTGGTGGGGTTGTCAGCCTTAAACGTCCGCCGCCCTTTAACCCCCAAGAATATTCCTGGTACTCATTTCTGTTAAGAGGGTGAGTTGTCCCCAGGGTCATAGTGCAGCTGGAAGGATTTGGTCAATCTAAAAATCCAATTACCTAACTGGGAACTGAACCCATGACCTTTCAGTTTTTAGCACAGTAAGAAAGGATGATGATATTACTTAAATGTGAAGATATTATTTACTGGTTTGAGGCCCACCAAAACAAACTGTGAGAGAAACAATTTAATAGCCCTCAGGTTAGATTACAATACAGTTTCTCTAGGGTACAATGGTTTTGTACAGTGACCAATGAGGAAACATCATAATGAACTTTACTACAAAGTTCTGTGAAACATTTTATAACTGGGAAATATGGAGACACTGTTTAGGAACTAAACATGGCAAAGGATTCTGTAGCTAGGGACAATTTCATCACCTCCCACCACCTATCCATAGGGCTGTTCCTCTCTTGTCTTGGGAAGAAAAAGCAGAGAGCCAGGCAAGGGGAAGACGGCCTTGACTGAACAAGAGAAATGACCCCTACTACAGCCAAACATTTGTGAGGATTAAAAAGAAAATCTGACAATGTTATGTACCTTTTCTACACTGTTTTCTGATTCTGTAAACAGCCTCCTGCAGCTTCAGTCTCCGTGCTTTCTTGAGGGCTATCTGTAGCTCTAGTTTGCTGTCATTTGGCTCAATCTCGATGTTGGGCAGTATCACTTCTGACGCTGAAAGCTGTGTCCGATTATTAATAACATTCAAAACTGCTCCTGTACCACATTTCATTTCATGATCTCACAACACACTTCATAGAGGAAACTATATGGGATGTTCCTAAAAGAATGGTGGGATTTCATTGCCGTATATCTCTGTCAGTTTTTGCTGATGAAAAGCAAAACGTATACAGATTCATAACATGGCTCTCAAATTTTCATTTTGTATATCACACTCTTTCCTAGTTCCATTTCCGACAGTTAGCAAACGATGGATTGGACGTGCTGCAGGTGAAGATGCCCTCTTTCTCCAGTGGCCAACCCGGTCCCCGGGCATAACTCCATGTGATTTCTTCTTGTGGGGGTATGTGAAGGACATGGTTTATGTACCCCTATTGCCCCAATCACTCTAGGATCTCCGAAACAATCAATCGTGCTGTGGAGACCATCACACCTGAAATGCTGCAGCGGGTGTGGCAGGAATTGGACTATCGCATTGATGTGTGCCGGGCAACGAAAGATGCGCACACAGAGGCACTTTGATGGACGCACATAAAATTTGGACAGTTAAGCTTCTGATTCTTTTAGGTACACCCAGTATAGTATCAAATGGCTGATGATTATTAGTAAATAATGTATTCAAAAGTCTTGGTGCTTGTCACCTGATTAGGGATACTAAGTCCAATCAACATTTGCCTTGTGGTACTGTAAAAAACTATGAAAAAACCTAAGCCAGGTTAGTCAGATGTTCCAGCGGAGATTCGTGAACACAAGAACACAGTTCCCTTTTTCTTTTTGAGTTCGGACTGTGGAAGTAACATGAGTCTGTACTTACGGTACGATTGGGCGTGTTCATCTCTTCTTGTAGCAGTTCAATGAATTTTTTTTGCTGATCTGAGTTTTATTTTAAATTTATGACAACAATCACTCGCTAACTAACTTGTTTCACTACTATCATTGATGAAAACCTGAGTGTCATCACCATTAACCACTGTACGAACGGTACGAACTGCCATTTTGGACATCAATAACAGCCCCCTGCAAATCCCACGTTATTGGTTGCCAACATGGCCGCCATGACACCTCGGTGAAATGCTGCTGCCATCTATGTTCAGCTTACATGACTAAATTAAAAATGACCTCCAGGGCCGAGAGCACAATCAGTAAGAAGGTATGCTACCTTAGCAACTATTTCGAGTGCTCCCCCCTTGCCCCCCTCAAAACGCTTTTTTTCGCTACTAGCAATAAATACTTTTAGATCTCTTGTACTGCAGTCTCTTTTTCCTTCTGGCATTTCCACTAATAACCTATATGCATTCCTCGCTTCCCCATTCGTGCTACATGCCCTGCCAACCTCATCCTCCTTGAATAGTGATACTGAACACAGTTCAAAGTATTCATTTCCCCACCAACCTATTTCCATTTTTGACAGAAAATACAAGAGGCTTAAACTTGACGGTCTTCAATCTTATAACTGTTCAAGTGATTAAGCTGCCATTAACATGAAGCAGACATGATCTGCTTTGCTAAGCCTGGACTGACAAAAGACTTCTCGTATATTGCACTCTCGAGAATGGTGCTAGAGAAACAACAGATAGCCAGCAAGAAGTATTGTTACTTGCATTATACTGGTCACTGAAGCAGCGACCTCTACATTCTATGGATTTATCCCCATATATAGAAATGAGGTGTCAGCATACATGATTGCCTTATCTCTTCCTACATAATTTTTTCCTTATGGGTTAATTAACAGTGCTGCCAGTAGCGAACAACAGGATTAGTGAAAGGATGTGGAAGAAAACAATCACAGCCCAATTCAAGAGGCTATCATGGAATTTTCTATGAGGGACTCAGGAAAACCATGAAAAACTTGTCCAAATAACTACTTTCCAGTCTTAGCTTTGAAAATACAACTTACACTATCTGTTTCTTCTTCAAAATTAATTTCCAGTTCAAACTTCAGATTTGCTGAACAGTATTTCCATGCATATGCACTGGCAAGTAATTGTAATAGTGCTGTGGCTAAAAGTTAATGTTATACTACTGTACTTCATTGGTTTGGATTTATTGTTGTTTCATGTCACAGTAAACAGCATCAATCTCCTAACTGCATAAGCCAACAGGCAAGTTGTCATGAGAGATGCTACTGGAGAATGCAAATGGCATGGCACCTGGGGTATTTCTGGAACCACAACCCTGTGTGATGATGGCCTCTGATCAGCACCAGGTCTGGAGTCAGCTTTGACTACAGACTTTTGAAACATTTTAGTGCTGAGAGTTTCCACGTGTCTGTCAGATCAAATAAGTTCTGCAGAATTTGCCTAATGCTCTTCTAAGAAAAAAGAATATCCTGAACCCATCCAAGCATTGTGCAGACTATTTCATAAGCCAAAAATACATTGTTGTTATTTAGAATGTATCTGGAGGAACCAACAAGTAATCTTACATCAAGATTGAATAGTTCCATTAGGTGGTCATCAATCAATCAAATAGTTATACAAAACTGTTTCATAAATTGCAGCTGTTGGAATAATATGATGGTACAATTTTGTGTTAATTCATGTGCTGTGACTTGATACTGACATTAGAAAAGATATTAAATATAATACAAGGTGTGTCCCAAAAGTCATGAAATATATATATATTTTTTAAATTTACTGATGATATCGGTAGAAAGTGTTAATATTCTTCAAAGTACTGTCCATGAGCATCTACACATTTTTTCCACCGACTCTCCCATGCCCTGTACGACCCCTCAAAGGCCTCGACGGGAACCTCATTTAAAGCTGTTGTCACAGCCGCTTGGATAGCCTCAATGCTTTCAAAACGGCATCCTTTGAGTGCAGTCTTCATCCTCGGGAACAAAAAGAAGTCGGCCGGAGCTAGGTCGGGGCTGTAGGGTGGCTGTGGCAGCGTTGCCACGTGGTGCTTCGCCAGAAACTCACGGACGAGCAGAGATGTGTGGCTGGGCGCATTGTCATGATGCAGCCGCCAGTTAGCGGCGATGTCTTTTCGCACGCGGATAACCCTTTTCCTTAATCTTTCTAGAACATCCACGTAGTAGGGAGCGTTGACGTTCTGTCCTTCGAGTAAAAACTCACATTTTCATCGGTTTGGCTTGTTGATGGCCGTCCAGAGCGGGGAACATCTTCCACTCCTTCCTGGCCCTCCTTAAACTTCTTCACCCACTTTGTAACTTGCACATATGATAGAGTAGACTCCCCATAGGCTTGCTTAAGCAGTTCGTGAGTTTCGGCAGCTTTTTTGTTGAGCTTTGTGCAGAACTTGACCGCCCAACGTTGTTCAAAAGTATCCACCATCGCGCGCCGTGACGTGGTCACAAAACACAGGTGCACTAAATCAGTGATACTGACGCCTACGATGCTTGAGCAGACTGACCTTGGGCACGCTGTGAAGCTAAAGGCCTCCCCCTCCTAACCCAACCGGTTCCAGCACGCTCTGACCAGTAGGAGCGCGGGAAAGAAATATATTTCATGACTTTTGGGACACACCTTGTACACAGACAGCTGGTCTACAATTAGTAGTAATGTGTGACTAAAATTTATTGTAAGTTTCTTTGATGTTTCTTTGTCAACATTTAACACAGCATACTGTGTGGTCATGTATTGTCAGGAACTTAACCTCATACATGTTAAAACTGTGCCACTTGGGTGACTGTTGGCATCAACAGCATGAACTGAAAGGATAGCTCATTCACATGAAATATTATTTGTTCAGTAATGAACAATCAAGAGGATTCACATATCGCATGGGAAGTTACATTTTACTGTCTGCTACTCCTGTTGCATGTTTTTATATTTACCTGCATTGAGAAATACATAATTTGTATTATCTGCCAAGACGGCTATACCATAACACTCTTAATAGAGTAAGCATGCATTCTGGGATGATTTTATCCTTTATTTAATACTAGAACTAAAATGTCACAAGTTAAGTTAAACTCCTAGCATTCCACCCATGTATTTCATTGGCCCTCTGTAATGTAGATATTTATGTGGAAGCATGTCAGGGTCTACCAAGGCTGAATACTAACATATCTGGTCTTTAAGAATGATTGTGATCTATATGTGCATCTTGAGAACATACAGAAAAAAGTCCATAAATACAGGGTTTTCCCCATTGTAAACAATAATGATTTGAAGATATATTATTATTTATGCAAAGATTAATTAAAGATGTCAGAAGACTAAAAGAGGACAAGTTCAATATAACAGCCCACAAATTTTACACTTACGAAGTGATATTTCCTTCAAAGCTGATGACATTGTTGAGCATGTTAAGAGTAGGCACTGAAGGTCTTCCTCTTGAGAAAAAAGATGAATGTGATCAGTCAACACACCATGCTCCTATTTTCACAAACTTCCCTTACAAAGGACATACTTAAATCAAAGAATGCATTCTCCTATATATATATATATATCATGTGTAAAAAAAACTTTGCTTTTTGTATGCATTATTTCACACCTCAGCAGCATGCATGCTGCCCAATATGCATGCGCTGATGTTTCCCAAGATCACATATAGTACTAAATGACTTCTTACATTCAGCACAGGAATATGGACCCTCCCTACTATGTATGCGTAGGTGTTTCTTCATTGAACTCTTCTGTCTGAACGATTTACTACAAACATCACAGAAATATGGACGATCTCCACTATGTATGCGCTGATGCACCTTCAAAGTACCCTGTTCACTGAATGATTTATTACACACATCACAAGAATATGGACGCACTCCACTATGTATGCGTTGGTGTTTAATTAAAATACTCTGTTCTCTAAACGACTTACTACACACATCACAACAATATGGACGCTCCCCACTATGTATGCGTTGATGGGTCTTCAGATTACTACTGACACTAAAAGATTTATTACAAATGTCACAGGAATATGGGCGTTCTCCACTATGAGTTCGTTGATGTGCCATGAGGTTACTACTAACACTGAATGATTTGTTACACACATTACATGAATATGGAAGCAGTCCAGTATGTATTCGCTGATGTGTCTTCAGGGAACTTTGAACACTGAAAGACTTATTACACACATCACAAGAATATGGGAGCACTCCACTATGTATGCGCTGATGTGTCTTGAGAGAATTATGAACGCTGAAAGATTTATTACACACATCACAGGAATATGGACGCACTCCGCTATGTATGCGTTGATGTGTCTTCAGATTACTCTTAACGCTGAATGCTTTATTACACACATCACAAGAGTATGGACGCTCTCCACTATGTGTGCGCTGATGTATCTTCAGTGTCGTTCGTAGATTGAATGTCTTATGGCACACATTGCAGGAGTTTGGACATTCTTCAGCACGCGTTGCCTTATGTTCATTCTGAGTATTCGAACAAGAAAAAAGAGCAGTTTTTGAATAAATATATCAGAAGATGAATGAATCACTTTGTAAGGAAGACCTAAATGAGGTCAATATTTTTTTCAATAAGGAATTATATTCTCTAAAATTCCTATTAAATGACCAGAAATTTCAGGTGTGATGTATTGCATAAATGCTGCAAAAATCACTGGCCAAATATTCTTCATGAACACATTAAATGAAAACTGTGTACATATTGCATTCCAGAATTTCACTCAGGAATCAACTAAAGAAAAGAAGCAAGATGTTTGAGAATAAGAATTTAAACATCCAGAGTGCTCTAAGCTGTATGGTACTCAATTCACTGACCTATTTATTTAGAGAAACATATTTTTGTGATGGTTAAGATACTGCATTGCAATAGAAAGCATTCTGGAATTTAAGAATACAGTCATTGCTTGTATTAATCCATTATAATTTTGCATAGTTTACTATTATAAAATTTAATGGGTATGAAAAGTGAAAAGTCTAGAAAATTATGAATTTATTATGCATGACACTTTACATCCCACTCCTAGAATAAGACTGGCAGGAATGAAACAACTGTTTCAGGAAATGATGTATCACAATGCATTTCATTCTTCTATTCTCTGATTATGCATTAATTTCCTGGCTGGCCACACTCAATCATGGTGAACTGTCAGACACATCACACCACGGAGACAGTGACTTGCTTTTTAGATTTTAAGCATTTACAGATAAAGCCACTACAATCCTTATTCTTATCTCATGTAAGTGCTTGTAACACGGGAACCAGGACAGCTGAGTTAGTATATACACTAGGCTATGGGTTGGATGACAGAGGAATCAAAGAGTTCAGTTCCGAGCAGAGGTAGAGACTTTTCTCTTCTCCATACAGTCCAGACAAGTTCCAGGGTTCATCCCGTCTATGAAGCTGACCACTCACTTCATTATAATGCCAAGATTAAGAATGATGGATTCTTACCTCCATTCCCCATACATATTCATGGCATGGTGCTTAATTAATTAAGCACGGATGTAACTTTACCGTTATCTTACAGATTGGAAAATGGACACATAAAATGTAAAGTTTTCTAAAAGCATACATCAGAAACCCTACAAGTCATTCTTGAAAATCTGTACATGAATCTATGTGCTCATGAGCAATGAATTTTGAAGGGACTGAGGTGAGATTGACCGACTGCAAGAGCTTTCTTGTTAATTTGCATGTTCTCTAGAAAGCACTATAGATGTTTATTTTACAAATTATTTATCACTATCTGTAGCTCAGAATATACAGCCTTAAGTGGTATAATGGTTAGCAGATAATGTCTTGGAGAGGATGTGAAAGGGAACAGCTGTTGCATAAGTTAGGTACTCATGTCTTGTTTCCTTCGGAAGGGCTGAGGCAAACATGAAAACCTCGAGCACGATAGCAAGTCTCCAGGCCAAATGTACATACATACATACATCTGCGTTTAAGGATATTCATAAGTGCAATCTGCACTGAATATGAAACATGTCACAAGCTTTACAAACAACAATACCTCTTTACAATTCCAACATGCCATATCACAATAACAAACAAACATAATTGCAAACAATGTGCATCTAAATAAATACATAAAATACAGATTATATTTACACTTAATGTCTATATTGATGCCTACTGTGGGACATCCATCAGTCAGCATGCACTCCCCTATTCCTTAGCTGCTGATCCTGACAGAAGAGCAAAAATTCATCAACAGTATATAACGGATTATGTATTAGGATATCCCTTATTTCTTTTATAAACTGTTTTTTATCATGTACTAAATCAGTTAAATAATCAGGCAGACTGTTAAATATTTTTATACTCATGCAATGGACCCCTTTCTGCCTCATTGCGAGATGTGATTGTAGGACATGTAAATTTCTTTCGTGTCTTGTCAGTCTCTCATAAATTGAATAATTAAAAGTAAAATACTCCAAGTTATTTATCATAAAATTCATCAGAGATAAAATATATTGAGAGACCACTGTTAATATATTTAACTTTATAAATGCTGGCCTACATGACGCTCTATGTTTCATCCCCATTATTATTCTAATAGTCTTCTTTTGCAAGAGAAAGATCTTCCTGGCCTCTGATGAGGTAACCCCCAAAACTATTCCATATCTCATGAGTGAATGAAAGTACGCATCATATATCATTTTTAGTGTTGTAACATTACTATATGTTTTCATAATTCGTATTGCATAACATGCCTTTCCCAATCTGGGTAACATTGATTCAACCTGTGTCTTCCAATTCAAGAACTTATCAATTTCAATGCCCAAAAAATTTAATATGAGTTTCCTCTTGCTGTATGGCATGACATAATTTTTTATAAACTTCAGTATATGATGAAAGTGCTTCTTCGTTCACCTCTTGGCCCACTGGAGGGGGTTTGCCATCAGTGAGAAATTACACTGCTCTGGATAAACTGACATGTCATACACCTATCACCTCCTATCACAAGGCTTATACAATTTTACTGAGCAAACTGGCTACAGCAGCAATGCTTATGGCTTGTATATGGGAGGTGCTTGGTTCAATTCTTTGCCAGGATACTCAATAATCTGAGTTCCTCCTTAGCCTTTCCAGACAACTTCAAAAATAGTAGTCTGACTAGGTAGTGAATGGCTCCTTCCACATTATTACAATTTATCATCTACCATCATACAATCATCTAACACTACTGCAAATAAGCCCAGCTATCCTAAGGCTTTGCATGAATTTCCTCATCCCTCATACTTTCAATTACACCACAGTCACTTCCTCCCACACTCATTCAGATTCATTATTAACCACTTGATTACATACATTCTGAATAATTGAAAACCCTACTAAATAGACCAAGAGTTAATACAAGTAAATATGTTCTCCTGATCATCATGACAAAACAAAATTATCAGAGATATGGAACAATATTATTCATTTATTTATCATTTGTTTTACAAGTGCCTACTTATCTGGGGTGGACAATCAGGTGGTATGAGAATAGTGTAATGAAAAGAATGTTTAGGGAAGTGGCTGTGGTGTACCTGAAGGTAGGCTCTCTGCATTTGCATGCAACCATTATGAAAAAATATGAAAAACTTGATTCAGGATGGACAGACTTGGGCCCAAGTTCTGAATCTCAATCATGGAGCTAGAATACTGTCACTTGAACACAATTCTCAAAGAATGCATAACATTTAAGCATGAGTTAAAGATGTCAACTGATGAAATCTGACTGACATGATGTGTAACATGAATCAAGCAAGGACTGGAAGCAGCTGTCCACAACAAACATGTATGCAACAACGGAAGAGCTGTTGGAAGTAGTGTTCTCTATGCAATGTGATGCAACAACAGAAGAACTGTTGGAAGCAGTGTTCTCTATGTAGTCCATGCTGAGGCTATATAATGAGGGCCAGCTGCCATTAGAGAGAGTCTTGAGATGGCAGTGTGAAGAGTAAGAGATTGGTGGAGAGGGCCACCAGCCTGGGAGTTAGTCACTGGAGTAGAGTCAGTTGGCGAGTGACTTAGTTAGTTGAGAGTTGCTGCAGCTGAGGCCAGGGATAGTTCAGGAACACAGAGTAGGGGAAATGTCCACCATTGGAAGCTGCTACTGAGCAACAGCTAAGGAAGGATGAGAAGACTTTATGTGTGCTGCAGTTACAGTGGTCTTTGGTGTAACTCAGTGAGACTGTCATAGTGTCACGGTTCTGTAAGAGTTCAATAAATCCAATTACCAATCCACACCCTGTATAAAGTCATGTCATAAAATTCTGACAATATAAAAAAGTATCCTAACCTATGGTTGGTCAAAAATGACTAACTGGTGAAGTTTCATTCAATTTGTAAATGGGAACTCAGTTACATTTGGTTAATGTGAGGATGTGGTTTAGAATACCAATGTAATGATGATGTGTTCATATACGAAGCACCCAAAATAACAGCAAACAACATTCGTTCATACATACCTGAAGCAAAACATAAATTTCCCTTGTTTCCAACTTCTTACTTCAAACACAACCTACATGTAATTTTATTAATACTTCTGCACACAGGTTGATCTTGCTTCCTGTATTTCCAGAACTTTATTGTTTAAAAATAGTTAAAGAATTTTAAACATGTTGCCAGAATGATGACATCCAGTTATCCAGAGATGAGCTTCCAAGATATAATATCACATATACAGACAACAGGCATGTAATTCGCAGTAATTCAAATACACACACAAATCTTAACATAATCAAAATGTATCCTGCTACAGATCCCTAACAAAAATGACAACTATGCCATATTGCATGGATACTGAGTACCAAAAATACGAAGAAATAAACTGCCATTTTCATTATGGGAATTGTGAGAAATCAACATACTAAACAAAACAAAGCTTTTTGGAGAGAACAGATATACAAACAATGGGAGATCTTTGTCTAAAAAAACTCAATTTACACAATACCGTACTCAATTCCATGTATCTTAAAACTGACATACAACTGAGTAGACTGGTACTTCATAAGCTACATATATATAACACAGGCCATCCATTTCTGGGGGTTATTTTAAAACGATTGCAGCAATGCAGAGTACAGTGACAGAAAGACTACTCTTTACACACATTTCAAAGAGGACTCCTCAAAGTAACTGTTCAGAAGGGAAAGGCATGCAGACACATGAACAAATGGAGACAGGAAAGACAACAGGGGATTCTTCACATCTGTGAAATGTGCCTAACAACAGACACACAAATATGCAACCCACCTCTGGCTCAGCATTTTTTGTTGGTACAGGATCCTGCTCCTTTTGTACATCTGAAATGTCCTTAGCTTTTACATCGTTGGCCTCAGTTCCATCACAAGAAGATGTAACACATGTCTGATTACATGAACCAGCCTCAATGTCCGGTGAATCCACACAGTTCTGTAAAACAACCATAATCTTATCAATCATGACTGTGCTCTCTCATTACATGAAACAGGATACATGTTCATTGTAAAATTTTTGAATTCCAAATTGAAGAAATGTTGTACTGTATAAATTTTCTTCTTTAATACTGTAAAACCATTTTAATAAAATCATTCTGAAACTAATGAGTTTGCTATAAAAGCATACCTTCCACTTTACATTTAATTAAAGACACCATTAATGCTAGATTGTTTTGGCATAAGACAACTTTGTCATGTGACAATGATCAGTAGACAAGGAAATCAAACATGGAACAGGTCTGAAATCAATACATAATTTTAGCATGAGGCAGTATAGGGAGGTTCATCCTTTCATTTATGACCTTACTACCACCCATTCATATGACTCAGGACAGCCCAGTCCAGTCTTACTATATATATTTTGTTCATTCTGCTGGTCCAATTATAAACTCCTGTAATGACCTGACACAAAAAGGCAGAGCTTTAGAACCACTGAGCTACCCAGACACTCCACCACAAACTAACACTTACTCTTAATTCCCATTTATTTACATTCACTGGTATTCAACCATCACATCCAAACCAACTGAATTGTATTGTGACATGTTGCGCAACGGAGGACCCCTACCTCCCCAGCGGCACGTGGCGGTAATGTAGTGCTCCCTCCCCCCCTCCGCAGTGATGTAACGCGCAACGCACAGTGACGTAAGACGGCGCGAGGTAACAGCATTGCTAGGCTATACGCAAACACGGTGACGTGGCACCACTTCCTACTGTGACGTGGCGGGCGACCCTAGCAACAGCAAACAGAATAAAAGCCGGCTGAGCAGCAAGCGAGAGCCAGTGTGTTATCAACAGTTCTCAAGGTAGCAGCCTGCGAGTGTGCGATAACTAAGAAGTCAGCGAGCGGAAGACTTATTGTGTGCTTTCGAGACTTAGTGAGTGCTGTCGTACAGTTATATTTGAAGTCTGTAATTCAGGGAGACTTGTATAGCTCCAGCGTTATTAGTACGTGAAGACTTTGGTTGTAGGGTTTGTAAAGTGTGGAAACCCGTAACATTGTTATAATTAATTGTAGCCAATACTTGTAGATTGTTAAATAAACCAATTAACAATCTCTACGGTGTCTTCAGTAACGCATCACATTACAGTATATTCTAGGAGGCTGTGAGCAGTTCAAAGTGGTGGCTTCCATGATGTAACAACAACCACAGAAAACTAAATAAAAGCATGGGCTGTAGCCAATAACATGTTATAAGCTGATAAATTAATAAAATGAATGCATGTACAGAATCCAGTTCAGACAGCCTGACAGGACTGGGCCATCACATGAACAATAAAGAGGTAAATAATGAGGCTCTGGAATTATTGCTCCCTCATAAACTATTTATAATAAATTTATTTGTGTTTCCACAGGAAACATAACCTGTACCTAACTTACACTACTTGTGTTGTAACAGTTCTCTGAAATGAATGTCACCAAGAATTACCTAAACAGAAAAAAAAACATAGGAACACAATCATGAAAACATCTGAAAACAAGACTGACCTCAGGTTCTGGCTTCGCTATGCAAAATGCAGATGGTATATAAATCTCTTCAATTTTCATGTGAATAGAATCTTCTTCACTCTGAACATCCACATCATTTTCTACCTTGATTATTGTATTCTGCTGCAAAATACATAAATGATAATTCTGTTTGGCACATTTCTTATGTTTCCAATATATATGTAAGATGGGAGACAGCAAGTACAATAGCTGATCTGACACCCATAATTCAAACATTTGAATATCATAAATTCAACATTCAGAACCTGAAAAGAGCATGCTCAGAATATACAACAATAAATTTTGTGTTAATGAATCAATAAATTAACAAGCATCCTCTTGTGATAATGTCAAGGTACATGGTCTCATCAGAAAGTTTATAAGCACTTTGTTCAATGTTACCTTTTTAATGAAGTTATGAAGCTGATAATGAAAACTCTTTAAGAAACTACTTCATTTTAACACAGTTACAAATTATGATTTCTGTCTTCTGTAAAAGACATGTGATAAAGGGCACACCATATATTTGTTGAAAAACCCGTATAATTAACTGCATGGTGCTGAGCAGTTCTTAAGAAGCCACTGGTCAATCAGTCACTCAAAACTTTCCAAACATTTTATGGAACCCTTCCACCTACACAGAGGTCTTCCTAGTGATCTCTTTCCCTTTGGTTTTCTCACCAAAATCCTATATGCATTTCCTTTCTCTCAATGCATGTTACATGCCAAGCCCATCTCATCCTTCTTGACTAATCATTCTAATTATACTTGGCCAATAGCAAAAGTTATGAAGCTCCTCATTAAACAGTTTTCTCCAACCTCCTATCACTTCATCCACCTTCAGCCCAAATACTCTCCTCAGCATCCTGTTCCCAAACATCCTCAGTCCATGTCTCTCCCTTAATATCAGAAACCTAGTTTCACATGCATACAAAACCAAAGGAAAAATTATATAGTTCTACATATTATAGCTTTTATGCTGTTAGCAGGTGAGAAGCCAAAAGTTTCTGGACCGAATGATAGTGTGCATTACGCCAATTCAATCTCCTGTCAAATTTTGGTTTGTTACAGTTCTTCCAAAATTTCTGAACTTTACCACATTTTCAAAAGACCTACCAACTATCTTTATTGTAATGTGTATAGCTAGGCAACGGCACAATGAACACGTCCTTGCTTAAGCACACTCAATAAGACAAATGTTTATAGTTCGTTGTTATGCAACAGTAAGCGCGCCAATGGACTAGTGAGGTAGCTATCATGTGACTGGCTTTCTATGAGTTCCGTGCCACAACCATTGCTATGTAATGGTTCAGTAAACACATTTCAAAAACAGAGGCTGTGTTTTCTGTGTGGTCAGTGTGGAGGATATATAATGACAGCTATAGATATAAAAAGTTTCAGACAATTCAACCTGTGTGGAGGCGGGGTTGAATACCTCCACCGTGACCCTATGAGTTGCAGGAGGCAATTAAAAAGGGAAGTCTCAAATCTGAGACAGTAGAATATGGTCACGAGTCCCAAGGAACTTGGACCCAAGAGAGACTGCGCTGGCAAGGGCCAGCAGCATATAAAAAAAGACAGACCCATCCTCTAGTTAGATAGGGCACCCCACAAAAACAAGACTATAACTGTCAAAGAGTAATAAATATCTGGTCATGAGCCCCAGATAGGGCTTGACACTAAGACTTACTGGCTGACTGACCGTCAGTCACATTGTGACTTTGACTTGGACTAAAAAGTTTCAGTTTTCAAGTGACAGTAAAAAAATGAAGAGTCCTGTAGGGTCCAGCAGTTGAGAGTACATGGACAAGAATGGAGCATGAGTTGTGAGGATTAATTAAGTACCAATCAGGACAGAGGAATACAGAGTGATTGAAGACTTTGTTTGTGTGTAATACTTGGAGAACGTAATCCAGTGAGACTGTTCTAGTTTCTGTGTTGAGATCCATTGCCAGGAGACAACTAATGAAGACTGGGAATCCTAGTGCATGTGCAGCGGTGAACTGGAATGTGTGTAAATCAGCAGTAGCACTGTATTGCCTGTATTTAAGTGTAATTAAGAGAGGCTGTGTAACCTATATGCTAATAAATCCAGTCATGTACCAGAACCCGCCATTTTTGTCAGACGTACCACCAAACACATGACATTAAGTTATGATTTTGCCCCGCATTCTGGTGATGAGACAGCAATTTATACTTAGTTCTCTCTGCGTTTACTTCTAGACCAGCCTCCTTACTAGCATAAATTACAGTTCCTGTGTTTTTCTTTAAGGCATTTATGTTACTTCCTTACAGATTTACATCACGAGCACAGCCCAGCAGCAATGTGTCCCATTTAAATTTAGTACCATCTGGTGTTCCTGGACCTTCCAAATGGCATATTCTAAACAAAAGTTGAAAAGAAATGCTCTCACACCACATCTCAAAAGCACTGAGACCTCACTGAAGTTTTCTAAGAACATAACCCTTTTTGCAGTCTGTTGCACGTATACAGGCGTCATCAGCAAAGAGACTTAGATAGACACCAGGTGTTTGGAGCGTATCATTTACATATATATATATATATTGTAACGTGTATCTCGTCACTGAATACGCCATAGAGATGGTTAATTGGTTTATTTAACAATCTACAAGTAACGGCTACAATTACTTATCTCACAGTTGCGGGGTTTCACACTTTATAACCCTAATCGTATTAATCTGTTAACACTGTTGCAGGGTTTCACGACTTATAACCCTATGAGCAAATCAGCTCACTCTGTCTTCAGTAGTCTACACGTT